TGGTAGAAGACAATGTCCAGTAATATCTGATTTTTTTTTATTCTGACACAAAATTAAAATAATGAAAAAAAGTATTGAAAAACTACGTTACATTTTTAATACAATTCATTACAGAATAATTTCCTTTTGAAAATGAACGAATAAATAATGAATAAATATGACTATTCGACTTCTGGGCAACTTGAAAACACAATATGAATCAGAATAATAATGTATGAACGTTACGTAGTTGCTAAATACAATATCTCTTCGAAATACGAAATACTGGCCTTAAATCTTGATTTGTTTGGGAAAGATATTAGAATGACCTACTGGGAGCAAAGCGCTTGCACACAGTAAAGAAATTGCGCAAGTACAAAAAGACAAAAGTGGGTGTCAAACATGTGCGCACCTAACCGGATTCATTTATACGGCGAAGCGATAATACGAGCACCGTTTCTATCAGGATTTTTATTTAGTAGGGCGACATTAAAAACATATTCGCATATGACAATATATACACATATGACAACATATACGCTTATGACAACATATACGCATATGACAACATATACGCATATGGCAATATATACGCACATGGCAACATATACGCATATGGCAGCATTTACGCATATGGCAGCATTTACGCATATGACAACATATACGCATATGGCAACATATACGCATATGACAACATATACGCATATGACAATATATTAATGTTAGATACAGAAAAAAATGCAAAAACGCTTCGACAAAATACCAACCAAATTAGTGAAGTAAGGTGTAACAATGACTTATAAGAAGAAAACACATTCTTGTTAGCAAGTGAGACAGCTCATCATACGTGTAATGAATTGGAGATATCAAGTTTATAGAATATAGTCTATTATAGCATGTAACTATTCTATGTAACAGAAATTTAAAGTCACACTGGAATAGTAAAATATCCTTTATCAAATCTCAGCAAAGTATTATGAAACATGAAAATTTCATAAGAAAAAAAGATGAACTGCTATGTAATGCAATGTAATGTCAATAATTTTATATGGCATTACACCCTTGTGCAAATTAATTGAAACAACCGCTTCAGTTTCCTTTCTTTCACCATACGGTCTGTTTTAGACCCACTGGAGTGACAGGGTGTAAACAATTTCTATTTCTTTCTCAAATTAGGTCATTTGCAGTGGTCTGCAGTAATATGAATCTATTTTCAGTGTCTATGATGAAATTTCTTTCGACTTGAAAAATATCGCGTCAACTGTGATTGTATCAGATTTTTACCATGCCCGGACACTATTGTCTCGACTGTCGATTAATTGTCTTACGGCCATTGTTTGAGATAGACGGTTACTCCAAGGGATCGTACGAAACTTGTAGCGCCGCTCGTACACACTGGCAAGCCTTAACAGTGAGCAAATCAAAGTGACACGGTAACTCTCCTGATTTAAATCCAATCGAGAATCTGTGGCCAATCCCCAAAGGACGACTTCTGGCAATGGAGATACGAAGTACTAACAAGTGCACTGGGTCATGTTTCATTGTAAAAATACGAAAAAAGTAAAGATTAAGGGAATTAAGCGTTTTGTTTCAATTAATTTCCATAAGGATGTAAGTGCTGGGCAATATCCCTACATATTAAGAGACTTGTGGCAATGGAAACGTGATTGTGTAGGAGGATGCTGAAAAGACTATGGTAGAACATAGGGGCAACAAAGAAGATTTAAAGGAAATAGGAACAAAAAGATTACTTTTGATTACAATCAGAAACAGTTGATTTCTTGGAAAAGATTCTTAGGATACTATGGCACACATACGACATAATGAACGTAGGGGGGCGGATAAAAGTAAACAGCAAGTAATCTACCTAACAAACATGTATAAATGGATGGCAGAACGTTGGCTTAATGGGGTAGTGAGAATATGAAAATTGCTTATTGCTACGAAGCATAGGAAGACGTGGAGGAACATGTTCCTCCATGTCCAGAAAGGAGATGGAAAGAGACGATATCTGTTTGCAGAAGAATATATGGAACATCAAGATCAAGGTAGTGCCCATATTACATGGTACACTCAAAACTATCCAGATGTTGTATGATTCAAGTTATATTTGTAACTAAGAATGATATTATAGGGGCCAGCATGAGTATTGAAAAAGGTTATAAATATATTAGTGCATTCCATAAAAATCAATCTTTAGCGACGATCATCAAACACCTTGTAAACAATAGAAATGCATGGATGATAACTATAAAATTACTATTACTACTAATATAAAATGTCTAGATACTAGATCAGACATGAAAATATGTTGTGTGACAAGGTGTATAGCTTTCATAATGAATGATTGTGAAGTCGGGTGAAATGAAAAGTCAGGATTAAAATCCACAAAGAAAAAATTAGAAAACAGATGAAGAAAGAAAAAAAAAATGGGCGAAAAGGCAATGAAAAGTGAGATAAGAAAAATACCGACTGACGAACAGCCATGAGAGAGAAATGTTGTTTTTGAATTTAATGTCATGGCGGTTAGATGTGATAACGATATGGGATAAGGACAAAAAGAAACTCTGAATATATAGCAGAGAAGAAATGAAAAATAATTGTCCAAAACATGAATAGAATAAAAAAAAATCATGATGAGAATACTGGAGATGGCAGAAAGGTAAATAAAGCAAAATCTTTAAAAATAGGAAAATTACTCAAATAAAATTACAATATATGACAGATTTAACGCTACGTCTACTAAAGTAAACAACTATTATTAATAATAATAAATGCAATAATAGCTAATTATCTCCACAAGAAGATAGTTGTATTTTACATTTAATGGTTTGAAATTTTCACTATATATTCTTCAAGGTAATTATCTAATCTGATAGGATACTTTTTATATTTGTCTGTATCTATGAGATGAATTATTATGATTATTATTTACATTAATCGGACCGTTATCCTCATCTTAATTGACATATTCAAAACGTTTCGCCCGTTATACACTCCGGTCTTCTTCAGATGATTGGAATTTAAAAACTTTATTTCGTTCAGTGGGGTAAATTCTTATAGTTCCCCGTGTCATGCCTCAAGGATACATGGCCCAGTGGATAAAGATGTTGGTTACACAAAAAATACCACACCAGACCACAGCAGTGATGAACCAAAAACTTGGAGAGTTAATTGAAAGGGAAATAACTTAGACATCCAGAAGAGGCATAGCACGAGGAAGTAGAACAATCTATCACGGTGGATGATATAAGGGCTTCGTTTCGAAATTCTAATCACCTAAAGGAGGCCGGAGTTTATAACTGTAGAAACGTTGTGAATATGGCAACGAAGATGAGGGTAACAGTCCGAAACTTGTAAATAATACAAGTATCTATTATTTTTTATTTCTTTTGTTCTTCTCACCTAAATTGATTGAAGTTGAGATAACATGTACACATGCGTCTTGCTGAAATAAGATGGAGAACAGAAAATATTCGGTTCGATGCCACAAATTTATTTGCTAGTTTTTCTAAATTTAATCAGTTTTACGGCGCCCCTGAGAGGACGGACACACTGTGCATCTTTATTGATGAGCAGGAGTTAAAAGGGAGTTTAGAACTGGGCATTGAGGTGAATTTGTTAATTTTGAAGGTCGAGATTGTGAAGGTGACGTAGGAATAACATTTATTTACTTGGGAACTCAATTGAAGACGTTCTGAGCTGATTGCATTACATGATTGGAAGGCATTTACAAATGATGTGCTGCTTTTATCAAAACCCATTGTAATATCGCGCACATTTCGGTGTGATACACATGCCTGATATGCCTTTGTCAAACTGGGTGTCATGAAGACTATGTTGCCTTCATAGATTTGTATCCAAGCGTTACTTTGTTGACGTGCTGCTCTTTCAGTCAATGATAATATTAATTATAATAATAAGAATAATAAGAATAATGAGAAGAAAAAAGAAGATGAAGAAGAAGAAAAGAAGAAAAAGACAAAAAGATGAAAAGGAAGGAAAAGGCGAAAGAGAAGACGTAGAAGAAGAGTAAGAAGAAGAAAGATGAAGAAAAATGAAATAGAAGAAGAAACAGAAGAAGAAGAAGGAATAAAAAGGAGATAAAATTGCAGAAGAAGAATAACAAAAAGTACACCGCAAAAACAAGCAAAAAAAAAAATCCAATGACAATGCATAAATCTTTCCACCCGGGAGATGAGTTTGACTGACAATATTTGAAAGTAAAATAGTTGGAAGAAGCATCATCAAAGTTAATGATTTCTTTGATTCCTGGATCCACGGGATTTATGACTCTATAAGGAAGCCCAAATGTTCGTTGAAACTTATTAGTACGATAAATATGCAAGGGAGATACAATCCAGATATGTTGAGAGATATAAAAATATTTCAGAAGATTAATGAAAAGAATCACTCATAAACTGACGGATTTATTGTTTGGGTTGAAATCACATTGAATATTGAAATCGAATCATTACTAATAAATGTTAAAAAACAAAAAAAAAAAAAAGCAACACCGTCAAAACCTGCATTAGAATAAACAATATAGAAAATGAACTATTTACATTATTCGGACTATTGTCCTCATCTCTGTCGCCATGTTTATCAAAACGTTTCGGCCGTTGTACGCTCCGGCCTTCTTCAGGTGGTTGGAATGTCGAACTGAATCCTTTATCTCGCTCACTAGATTAGACTGTTTTAGTTCCACGTGCCATGTATAATGGATGTCAGTTAACTCCCGATAATTCCCCTCCGAATGTTCTCCACTGCCTTAACCAGTTATTGAACTCACACTGTTTGGGTCCTGTCACTGGATCTAACTATGTGTGTGAGTTCAATACTTGGTTAAGGCAGAGGAGAAATTTATGAAACATTGTGATAAACATGGCGACAACGATGAGGACAATAGTTTGAATAATGTAAATAGTGTACATAATATCTCATCTCAGAAATAGGCATATATATATATATATATATATATATATATATATATATATATATATATATATATATATATATATATAGCTGTTCCTGCAGAATCCAAAATGTAATTTAAAAATAAATAGCTGAATAATTATCTGGATCAATAAAATGACAGTAGTGCTGATGGTTGTTAGACTGATGGAAAATTCACAAAAAAAACTCATTAAAAGTGTGCAGGAATTTGTAATGATACGAAAAAGCGAAGTCCTCTAGAATATGACACTATTGATAAAGTCTAGAATACTTTAAGGAATGCGGGAGAAATAAGGAGACGCCATCCAATATATTACATACGTGTGATGAATATTTCAAGACTCCATTTCATCAATAATATCCTCATAATAATGGTAGAGCTTATTCATGTTCAAAGAAAATCCAGCAGATGATACTGTTTGGCAGACTTGCAATAGAAAGTGGACCATCTCATGTATATGGATGACCTGAAATCCTTGCACCCCCCAAACCCCCCAACAACAACAACAAAAAAAAACAACAACAAAAAAAAAGAAAAGGCTTAATTTAATAGATCAGAAACATCAGTCAGTATACATCAGGACGACAATGAGAAGCGAGAAATATATAAGAACTTTGATGCATAAAGAAAAAAATTCAAACAAAAGAAGAAATCGAATTGTCCAAGAAGGAAATCATTGTCATGCACACTGGGAAATAAAATTACAAGGATTCCTGGAAGGTGATTCAATTAAGCAGAATGAGACGAAACAAAATGTAGGCAAAGAGTCTAGCTCCAAAGAAGGAACAGAAACCTGATGAGTATAAGAAGTACCTATTTTAATATATTAGGATCCTTCCACCCTTGAACAAGAACGAGAATTGGGAATGTTGGATTAAAGAAAAAGGAATTTGATGCGTCATAGAAATGGCGTGGATATAGAAATGGATGAAATGGAATGAGGGAGGGAGAGGACTAGTCAGTAAGATTGGATTGACTCAGTCGATGAGAAAACTCGACTAGCAATGGTCATGCATTGGCCATGTTTGTGTAACTAATTACATCAGCCAAAAAATCGGAAACAGAATGCTGAAGGAGAATAACAAGAAACTTTAGCTCTTCAAGCCATTAATGGAAAAGAAAAGAAATTGTACAGTCGCTTCAAGAGACAAATGGAAATAATTGTAGATGAAGTGAGAGAAAAAATTGAGGTTAGGTGGGTTTATGTTACAGGTCAAAGCTCGATAAAGCCATTTTCATTTTGTATTTTGTGATTTTTTTTTTTTTTTTCTATTATTGTATTTAATATGAATATAGCAACATATCAAAGTGCATAAAACATAATGCCATTTTACATTCATACAACCTTCCGCTCAGTTCCCATATATTGAACCGCTTGTTTTTCAATAAAAATCTTTAACTAAAACGTATAAATTAAACATTTTAAAATAATTATAACAGCGCCTCGCGTCAAATGCAATGGAAAGTTTATCTCAGTTACAATAAGTTTGTCTTTGTAATTTATTCCTGAAGATAATCTTAAAAATGTTAAATATGTTAAATGTAGTTGGGGTGAAAAATAAAAACCAAAAAAAAACAAAAACTACGGCTCCTTCTTTTTGAATTTCATCTGAAACTGATTAAACAAATGGAAATGAGCAGTATGAAGATAAGTAGATACAATATGTATATATTCAAAGAATACTATTTAAATGATGATCTGTTTCCTGTATATATATATATATATATATATATATATATATATATATATATATATATATATATATATGTGTGTGTATTTATGCAGCATTTTTTCATTCAAACATGTTTCATTAAATAATATAGACAGGTGTTGTCTATTTATTTTATGTAAATTCGTTTGATAACGTCTGATAAGCCTAATAACATTATCATTAAACGAAGAAAGAAAATCACAATATTGATACATATTTTTTAATCCAATCTAAGCCTTCAGCTTACATAAGCCGTTATCAAAGATGACAATTACAGTACAATATATTAAAAAATACACGGACAAGAATGTGATGATAGACTGTTTGTGTTTACATGGATGATTTCCAAGCAACGATAAACACGTGCATATAAGACACTGGAAGCGAAAATCGCATCGCAATATTTATTGTTTTTATGTTTAAGTATAATTGTGTTTTCAACTTAAACATGAAAACAATAAACAAAAACTAAAAATTCTTGAAGCTAAATACATAAAACAGTTAAACCTAACCTAAACAAAATAAAATATGAAATCTTAACAAATATTCTTAAATATTTATAATTGGTAACAGAAGCCATTGGTTTATACCAACGGCTTCCCATACTTAATACTTCTCGAATTCACTCCCGCGTGGTCATGTGTGACGTCATGAGCTGCGGTGCGGTTTTCGCTTCCAGTGTCTTATATGTACGTGTTTATCGTTGTCGCCACTCATGACGTCACAAAAATCAAATTCCCCCGACATTGAGAACGACACAGACAATCCAAAGGTGTTTCACTGCACATAGTGTCTATTTAAAGAGTGGGTAATATTGCTGATCGGACCATGCCAATATAAGCCGAGATAAGA